CCGGGGGTACAGGGCACCCCACGGAGAGGGACCCCCTTGGGGCACCCAGCAACCTTTGGAGAGGAACCCCCCCCAGGAGCCTGGGCACCCTCCGGGGAGGCCACCGGGGGTTCCAGGCACGGAGCCGTGCCGTGACCCCAGGCCGTGGCCTTCACCCTGCACCCCACGAGCTGGGCAAGGGTTGGGGTTCACGTGGGGCCACGCGGTCCCGGCTCAACCGGACCCCCGCGGTGACAATGCCCGGCACCCCGGCAGGCGGGTTTGGCAGCACGGGGGGGGACCAGAGGGGGCAACGGGGGGGGCTGGGGGTGATGGAGGCGGCGAGGCCAGGAGGGAGGCCACTGGAAGCAGGCGAGGTCGGGGTGCGTGCAGTGCTCAACGACAACCCTGTCCCCCACCGGGGACCCTGCACCGCCGCACCGTGGGTGGGAGCGCTGGGGGCCACCGGACGGCCCCGGAGCAAACTCTGCCACCTTCTCCCACCCAATGCAATGAGAGTGGCAAAAATAACCGGAGCGCCGGTATTTACAGCCCTGTTTGGGCACAGAGAGGGGCTGTGGGATGCTCCTCACATCCCCACCAAAGCCCCCAGCCAGCCATCCCCAACCCGATGGGCTGCGTGACCTTGGCCACGCACCCCGAGACCCCGCCGGCCCTGTGCACAGCACCACCGTGCACCCTTGCCGGTACACGCAGCCGGACCTCACCGTGTTGTGTCAGTCCCCCCTGCAGCCCACGGGGCCGGCAGCAAACCCAAGCAGGTCCCCGGGGTGGCCCGTGGTACCCGTGGGTGCGTGGGCCCCCCTCGTGCTGCCCCCGGCGCAGGAAACAGCCCCGGGGCCGGCGGCTCCGGCTGCGTCACGGGGGGAAGTGAGGCTCTGTCTGGAGGGGAAGAGAAGCCCACAGCTCCCCCCCCCAGGTCCTGCCGGCGGGGGACAGCCGGGGGGGCCCCGACAGATGGATGGCGTGGCCATCCCCTCCCCCAGCATGGGGCCCCGCAGGGGCAGCATGAGGGTCCCTGTGGGGAGGGGGACACAGCTCCAGCAGAGCCAGGGGCACCCAGAGCCCATGGCCCCCCTCCCTGGTCCTCCCAGCCACTCGCACCCGCTGCCCCAGGCAGCGTGGGGACACGGCACGTGCCCAAACCACGCGGCCGTGGACGTGCCAGCGCGGCAGGGAACGGTCCCCTGCACCCAGGCCACGGTCCCGCAGCGTGGCCGCGACGGGCTGGCCTTGGCCTGCCCCACGTCAGGGTCCTACCCCAAGTCTGGGGACATGGGGTGACAGCCCTGAGTGTCCCCAACTCTGCTGGGCTGCAGGGGCTGGCTGTTCCTGGGGCAGCCAGGACGCACTGGGGACAGCCCAGATGCACTGGGGACAGCAAGGACAGCCTGGGGACAGCTGGGCTACACTGGGGATGTGCTGGAGAAACAGCCTTGGGGTAGCAGGGACACATCGAGGACAGCTGGGACTCACCAGGGACACGTACCAGGGACAGCCAGGATGCAGTGGGGACACTGGGGACATGCCAGGGACAGCCAGGATGCAGTGGGGACACTGGGGACAGTCAGGATGCAGTGGGGAGAGCGAAGACACACAGGGGACAGCTGGGATGTTCGAGGGACAGTGGGGACCAGCGGGTGGGATGGAGGACAGTGGGGGACACACCAGGGACAGCCAGGATGCACTGGGGACACTGGGGACACACCAGGACACAGTGGAGAGAGCCAGGGAGAGAGCCTGGATGTACCAGGGGACGGTGGGGACACACCGGGGAGAGCAGGGATGGCCCGGGGACAGGGGGGATGCGCTGGGGGCACATGGGATGTTCTGGGGACAACAGCCTGGGGACAGCGGGGACATGCAGCGGGGACAGCCAGGATGCACCGGGGGGGCACCGGGGCCA